TATCATGTCTATGTGGAGCTCAACTTCATGTTCTAGGGTTGTGGTTCTTTCATAACTATTGTTATTCGAATATTGATTTGATTTCTTGATTTATCGTATTAGTTTATTTATTCAATTCTGCACTTAATTATTTGATTAATGATCACCAATTGAATACTATCTATGAATCTAGAATTGAACTCAAAAGTGAGAATTCTTGATTGCACGTAGGATTGAGTAGAGCAAGTTCTTGAACCCGACATCGGGAAATGCATTCGCGGTTAGGATAGACGTATGCTAATTGACTTGCTTGGTTATTATACAAAAATTATGAATGCATTCTTGTTGGTTCTAATATACATACATGCTTAAGTTAGCTTGAATAGACAAGTAAGAACTCGATAGATTCTTATGAGGAATATTAACCCTGTCAACTAAATAGATTTTAAACATATGAATTAGGATTTTTTTCAAAGGTAGAAGGACATGGTGGGAGGGACATTTTTTCCATATTAGACAGCCACATCATCAATTATATTGTATTTAAATAGATGTGACACTGATGTGGAGATTGTTAGTAGTAAGGGTAGATATGATCCAAAAATTAGACAGCATGGGTATTACTACCATAATTTGACGAAGGGTAAAAATGACCTACTTCGGATAGTTTAAGAGCAATTTTCGCCCTTTTTCGTTTAAAAAAAAGTCGACGCAAGTCTTCCTCTTAGATCATTCTAGTCTTCTAGTCCACTCTACCAACCAATCAAATGCATAATAACCATTCTAATTTATTTCTTGACTGTAATTATTGCATTGGCTACCACTTGCCTACTTTTTGTTGTTGATGGAAACTGCTTTCCTATAAATAAGTCCTCCAACTTCCAATTTATTTTTTTGTTTCTTGTAATAAGTCCAATTTTAGCCCTATAATTGACTAATTAAAAGTAACACAATATATTTTTCAATAAAAATTTGGTAATTTAAATTATTTTGAAATAAATTAAGAATTAAAATTTGATATAATCCTTTAATTTTAAATGACATCTACTCTTATATTAGGTTTATATTAAATTTAAACAATTATAAAGTAAAAATGTTCCTTAATTAATATTTTTTGGTGAAGGGCCAAGTCAATGTAGTAGCTCTACCACTAAAATTTACCCAATCCACAAAATTAAGAAAATAAACCTGCAATTACGTCAACAAAGATGATATATACCTCAACGTTATCACATATGCAAGTGGGGTTTTCTTGTTGGCTTTTAAATTGACGCATTATGTTATCGATCCGCTTATGTCTTTTCTTTTCTAAGATTATGATTTTTTTATTTTCTAACACTATAATTGAACATATAGTTGCTCTTATCGGTATTCAAAATATAATAGAAATTAAGATTATTCATACGAAAATCATAACAACAATTATGCATCAATTTCGAACTACTGACAAGTCTATTTGCAATATGTATGAAGTTAGCATAAAGGAAAATCCACTGTTTTCACCCTTTTTTGAACTCCAAAGTCCAAACAAGTGAAAATTGCTTTCCTTTAAGATAGGTAAGGGAGGCAAACAGATAGGTCGGATCGGATATGGGACGGGTCAAAAACGTGTAATATAAAAATAAATAAATTATTTATCCCGACACATATTTAATACGGATAAAAAATGGATTAATCAGCGGGTAATATGGATATCCATATTATCCATGGCTTCTTGAATATTATGATCACTTTTGAGAAAATTCCTAATCTCCCAAACTTGAGCAACCCCCAATTTGAAGCTTTACAAATATAAAAGTTAAACTCATTAGTTATTCATTGGTTATCCATTTTCTAAGTGGATAATTAACCATATTTAACCCGTTTTTAAAATGTTTATTATCCAATCTATTTTTTAATAGATAATATGAGCGGATAAATATTTTTTTTTATCTATTTTGCCACCACTAAATATAGGTCTTACTTAAACCAAACAAACGAAGGCAATCGGATAACTAAAATGATCAATAGTTTGGCATTTTAGGGAATTTCGTAGGTTTACGAAGACAAAAAAAATTGTGTTCTTTTTATTTTACGTTGCATTTCTAAAGGAGTTGAAACAATGAATATTTAGAAATTGGATTCCGTTCATCTAACTCTTTCTACTCATACTAGCAATTTATTTTTAATAAAGAAACCTAATAAAGAAATTGTTGATCATATTAAAAATAAATAAAAGAGGAAACAGTGGCCAGAGATAAGATCTACCTCAGTTGCTGTCACCAACTATATTAAATATTATTATCACAATGATTATTTCTTTTTTGCCAAGAATTGTCCTATGTGCATGTCATAATATTATCTTGCGGACCAAAGCAATATGGTAAACAAATAATGAATATTCTGATATATTAATTTTATGTACCTCTATGGCTTCGCCTGTATCATGAATACAGATGGCAATTACAGTGCCATTCTATTTAACCATTTAGAGATTGCCAATTCTGTAAAGATTTCTGTTTTAAATTGTTTCACTTTCCGTAATCTACAGCCAGGGCGAAGCTATGTTCGTCCAAGGGTGGTCAACTGACCACCCTTCGCCGAAAAATTATATTACGTATAAGGTAAAATATTATTTGTTATTGATTAAAAATATACTTTGAACACCTTTGCATAACCCACTGACAAAGGGTGTTCAAAATTTGAACACTCTTATTGAATTTCCTGGCTTCGCCACTGTCTACGGCTAATTTGATCAAGTACTAGACGATAAATTCTTTAATAGAGACAATTTCAGAAACTACTCGAGAAATATCACACGTTACAAATTGGATTTAACTTATATACATTGTTTGCATAAAATATTATTTATATTATCAATTTAATTTAATTTATATTGTTTGGACTCATAGGCGGATTTGTAGTTTATGGACCGAACCCACAACCCATTATGCTCACAGTTTATTATACGAAATTTTACCTCCTATAGCAAAAGTTTACACCCTATTTATTATAAATCAAAACTCTTTTAAAATATTATTTTTTATAGCTATATTTTATTTTTTATAGCAAAATAGGTATTTTATGGTATACACTACCATTAAGGCATTAAATATGCTATGTACCATTTTCTCTCTCATTATTTCAGTTATTCTCTCCCAAAATCACAGCAAAATATTTCTTCTTTCTCTCTCCACGATCTCTCTCTCACAGCAAGATTGTATTCGCGATTTTTGAAGCACGATTCTCTCTCTCACTTTCAACGTTTTTGCTCCAAAAATTCGTGGTAAGTGTTAAAGTTTTTGGGTTTTTGGTCGGCTCAAGCATAAAACATCAATTTTCCTCTTCAATTGCTGATTCAACAACTTTGAAACAAGAGGGCCATTGCGGCTTTCTTCTACGCCAGATATTGCAATGGATTCCTCTACACGGTCCTTTACACGGATACTGCATTATTTTTTACGCCGGAGAAGATTCGAGGGTCGGGGTTTTTGTTCGTCTCCATTTTTAGTTTTAATACAATGTATACAATATTTTGCTTGGCCGAAAAATGCCATCTCCGGCGAACTTTCTTCTCTTCTTTGCTATTTAGTCAGATACAATGATACAGATATATTGTATTCTATACAAATTCACTCAAATACATTGTGTTTTTGCATAAATATATTTTTTTGCTTGTATTTGTGTATTTCAAAGGTTTGTATTTTTTCAATACAGCTGAATATATCTGTATTCATGCATGAATACATGATATAAAGATTGAAATGCACTGAATACAAACATTAAAATAGAACAAAATATAAACAATAAATACATTTAATTTTAAAATACAGTAAAATACACTGAATGATTTTAGTGGCCATATCGGGCAGACGGTCGGGGGATATGACGATGTGCATGGCGGGTGAAATACAGTGAATATAACCAATGAAATATACTGAATACAACAGCAATAACATGTATTAGGAATAACTAAAATACTATTAATACAAATATATTTGAATACACTACATATAAAATAGCGAATACNGAATAACTAAAATACTATTAATACAAATACATTTGAATACACGAAATATAAAATAACGAATACAGTAAATACAAACGTTGAATCTAATGAATGCAACAATAAAAAAAAATCAAAACACACTAAATACAAAAGTTATATACAACTGAAAAATCATTCTAATTAGTTGGGTTGTGGGTTGATAATGAGGCATGTTAGAATTGATTTTGTTGAGTTATATTAAGAGTGTATCACGCTAATTGATATTATTTCCGTTATTAGACAATTGGGCATACATATTTTTAAGGTGATTGTCGTTACTGTATTCATGAATACATGGCGCAAATACATGTGAATACATGCGTGTATAGCTGGACTGCCCTGATTTTAGGCGCTTTTTGCTGCTGTATTCATGCGCTTTTTGCTGCTGTATTCATGAATACAGCAGCGCGAATACATGTGAATACATGCGCGTACAACTGGACTGCCCTGATTTTAGGCGCTTTTTGCTGTTGTATTCATGAATACATGGCGTGAATACATGTGAATACATACGCGTACAGCTGGACTGCCTTGATTTTTATGCGCCTTTTGCTGATGTATTCATGAATACAGCAGCGCAAATACACGACCGTAACAACTAAATAGTAGCTATAGGAAGTAATTATATATATTATACTTATAGGAAGTTAATAGCTACTAAACAATAGTGGTTTCTGAAAATTCCTCCAATAAGTACATATTTACCCGAAAGCATTTTTGAAGAGTACAAACAACATAGAATTTAATCTATTTGAGCAGTTATTAGTCCCACTTTTTATGAAGGTTACTTTTAGTTTTCGCTTAGGACAGTGTAAGAACTTATTTCACGCTAAAAGTGTATAGAAGTTAATATCGGGTTTAAGATGTCTATACTAATCAAAATTGGAAAAGCTAAACAGTAAGCTACAATTTAGGTAGGACGGTGTATTATTTTAAACAACTAGCAATAGTAGACAAAGAGCTGGTATAAAAAGCCCATGCCTTTTCCCATATTCTGTGTCTGTCCAAATATTTTCACAAATATTAACACAAAAACCACGTACTTAATCATCAATCTTTCTTAAGGCTGCTGCTGGTTTTGAGTAATTCTTCACTTTGAAGGTAACCAGATTCACCGTATTACAATTTTTCTAAGTTTTTGCATTGGCTTGTTAATTGTTCTGTATATGTTGCTCTTCATAATCTTCTGTCTGTTTCTGCAGTTTTATTTATGGATTGTATGCCTTAATCATTTTGGACTAAGTTTCTTTTCTTTTTCTATCAAAAATGGTTCATCCATTTTCCATTTCTTCTTGGTTTCTCAGAGTGACAATGAAATCAAGATTCGATACTTGTTCAAAACTTATGCTAATAGAACACTTTTTTTTTTATTTGTTTTCCTAAATCAAAGAATTGATCTTTAAAGTATTTTTGCTTTTTTCTTTTCTTTTAAATTATTTGATCTTGACAGCCTCTGATTCAGGGACCCGTGGATTTGTTTGCAGCTATGAGCTATCTTATTTTTATAATGAAGTTAATATATTTAGCACTTAATTGGTTTTTATGTGACCTGATAGTTTTGAAATATTTATACTGTCAGCATATATTAGTTAATCCTGCAAAACCAATTATGTTAAACTGTATTCTTAGTTACCCTTTATGATTTGATTCAGGTAAACAAATCATTTGCTCAGTGTGGAAACTTGAGGTTCTTAGCAGTTAAAGATTCCTGTTTGTAAGTTGGTTCATCCTCTTTAGTATTCTCTAGTCCATTAAAAAGACCAGGGAATGCTGAAAGATGTGCTTAAATGCTAGGAAGTCTTTCTCTGAGGTTCTTGAGATTGAAGCTCTATTTAAACTTTCCTTTTTACTTGATGAGGTTGCACCTGTAGTTTCATCCAGATTCTCTCATCAAATGTCAAACCCTGCTAGATATTTTCAGGGTCAAATAGTATCGTATCACAATATTAGTGAAGATGGTTGAGTTGTTCAATCCTTGATAAATCTTGCATCTTGTATATAAATATTGAGTTTCATTGGGGGCAAAATAGTTAGTTTAATTACTTTGGTTTGCTGAAGTTGATATGGAGAGTAAGGGGAGTACTGTACTAATGGAAAGGTATGAGTTAGGGAAATTGTTGGGACAAGGCACTTTTGCTAAGGTCCATCATGCAAGAGACCTTAAGACTCGGTTGAATGTGGCAATTAAGATGATTGATAAGGAGAAGATTGTGAAAGTTGGGATGATTGATCAAATCAAACGCGAAATTTCGGTCATGAGATTGGTTAGACACTCTAATATTGTACAGCTCTATGAGGTCATGGCCAGCAAAAAGAAGATCTATTTTGTGATGGAATATGTGAAAGGAGGAGAGCTATTTAACAAGGTGGCTAAAGGGAAGTTAAAAGAAGATGTTGCAAGAAAGTATTTTCAGCAGTTGATTAGTGCTATTGATTTCTGTCATAGTAGAGGGGTTTATCACAGAGATCTGAAACCAGAGAATCTATTGGTTGATGAAAATGGAAATTTAAAGATTTCAGATTTTGGATTGAGTGCCCTTGCAGAATCTAAGAGACAAGATGGTTTGCTTCATACCACATGTGGGACACCAGCTTATGTTGCACCAGAAGTGATAAACAGAAGAGGATATGATGGTGCTAAAGCTGATATTTGGTCATGTGGGGTGATATTATATGTCCTTTTGGCTGGTTATCTACCATTCCATGATTCAAATCTAATGGAGATGTACAAAATGATTGGTAAGGCTGAGTTCAGATGTCCTAACTGGTTCCCTCCTGATGCTCGCAGGCTTATATCGAAAATATTAGATCCAAATCCAAGCACAAGAATATCCATTTCCAAGATAATGGAGAATTCTTGGTTCAAGAAAGGCTTGCAACTGAAACCAATTAAAGATAATGCTGACTCAATGCTTAAAGATGCAGAGTCAAAGGAGGCAGCACTTGAAAATGATGATGCTGTTTTTAGTGTTTGTGAGAATACAGAGCCAAAGCCAGAAATGGCCAAGCCTGCACACTTGAATGCATTTGATATTATCTCATTGTCAACTGGTTTTGACTTGTCTGGCTTGTTTGAAGAAAGAAACAAAAAGAGGGAAGTCAGATTTACATCAAGGCAACCGGCGAAAACAATCATCTCAAAGCTAGAGGATGTAGCTAAGCGTTTAAAGTTGAAGGTGATGAAAAAAGATGGAGGGTTATTGAAGTTAGAAGGATCTAAAGAAGGAAGAAAAGGAGTGTTATCTATCGATACAGAAATCTTTGTAGTAACTCCAAATTTTCACTTTGTTGAGGTGAAGAAAAATAGTGGAGATACTATAGAGTATAAGAAGATGATGAAGAAGGATATAAGACCAGCATTGAAAGATATTGTGTGGACTTGGCAAGGTGATGAGCCACGGACTCAGCAGCCAGAAGAAGAAGAATATTTGCAGACTTATCAAAGGGACTCATTTGACACTGATTCACCTCAGAATGCACTGTAGGGACTACAATTACGCTGCCAATGTAATTATGTTTTAAAGCTAGAAAATCAACCCCATTCTGTATTTTCTTTATGTTCTTGATCCAAGCTCGAGTTTACTTTTACGTTTGATCTCTGGAGCAAACGGTATGCAAAGCAAAAAATCCTGTAAACAGATTTAACTTGATTCACGCTAGCAGGGTAAGAAGTTTTTATATTATCAATGTATTTGGTAGATATATTGCCTAACTTTTCATCCACTTTTATGAACGGTTGGTTTAGTATTGACCATCTTTTAATGAACCTAATTGTCGTTGTCGGTATATAAAAGTTAAACTTGTTCTAAATTGAGAGATTGTGATAGTGTTTTGTATGTAGCACAACTTGAGATATGTAAAACAGCTATACCTTTAATTTGCAATTAGAAGATCAACGCATTATTTATTGGTGATAATGCAATATTAGTGCTTCCATTTGATTGTGTTGTCCGAATGGATTGCGATACTATCCATTTACCTTCATTCCATTCATCATAACTTGAACATTGTACCGTTGAACCATTCTCGGTGTATCCACCTTTTTCTTCCTCGACTGTCAATCACTTGTATGGTAAATTAATCAAGGCAAAATACATAAAAAGACACTTAAAGTTGACCTCAGATGTCTATTTTTTCGCTAGTTCAACTCAATTTTAACTTAAATTTAAAAAATCTACTCCAGAATTTCCACCAAATTGACTCAAACTTTAGCCACAACCTCCAATCAAATATTTCAAACTAAATATTTTGATTTAAGAAAAAACATTTAAAAAACAAATATGAGAACTCCGTTGAAAAGTTGAAAAAGAACTCGATGAAAGTTTCAAATAATTCTAAAATGACCAAATTGTAATAGTATACTGTTACATTATATAGTATACTATAACAATATACTGTTGGAAAGAACTGTATACTAAAATGGTATATAGTATATCATTTTGGTATACAGTACAAATTCTTCTTTGCCAGTTTAACTCGACTTTAATTCAAATTTAAAAAATTTACTGCAAAATTTCTACCAAATTCACAAATATTTAGCTACAACCTTAAATCATGTATGATACTAACGTAGTATATATCATATATTGTTAGGGTATCATATACTAACAAGGTATATAAATATACCAACTAGGTATATTACTACTTTATGTCTGTTTCTACATCTACATCTAATAATGTGAATAATATCTCTATAGAACTCCATCAAACATCTATTCTAAGATTTTTTTATTTTATTTTTTTTTTGTAAAAGGCATGAGAACTTTATTAAAATATTTAAAAAGGATCCGGTTAAAATTTTTGAAAAATTAAAAAATGAGCAAATTGAAACAGTATATTGTTACATTATATTGTGTGCTATAACAATATATTGTTGTAGTAAATTATATATTATATGCCAAAATAGTATACAATATATCAAAATAATATCTTGTGTTCTTCATTCAACAGTATACTATTATATTATACTATATACTGTAACATTGTATTATCGTAATTAATTATATACCAAAATAGTATACAATATACCATTTTGGTATACAGTGTAAACTCGTCCTTTTCGCTAGTTCAACTCAATTTCAACCCAAAATTATAAAATCTACTCCAAAATCTCCACCAAATTGATTCAAAATATAATCACAACCTCCAATCAATATTCAAGCACACTCCAATCACAAGTGGATCGAAATAACTACAAACTCAACAAATCCAATTAGTGAGTGCCAAGCTTCAAGATACTTCAATTGATGGATTTAATTTTCTCACAATAAAAACTTCGAAAATTAGCATTAACATCATAATCTACACATCAAAGAACAATACCCAATAAATTCCAACAACTCTCCAAACACGCATGAAAATTCAAATCTTAGTTAGATTACATATTATTTTTTGTTTTACTTTTAGAAGATAAAATAAATTATGGAGCGTAAATAAAAAAGTGGGCGATGGCAGCAAGAAAAAGGTACAATACAAACAACATACAAATGCTATCTTTTTTGTGATTGAACTTCATATTTGAAAATTGTGATTTTTCATGAAGTGAAAGAGGAAAAACGATTTTGAAACTTCTTAAAAGTATTTTATGTTTCTCCTTGAGAAATGAGATGATGACGTGATGAAAAAGGAAAGTTGTATTAGGTTGGGCGAGCAATTAATTGTAATAGAATAGGTATTTTATGTAATTACTTTTAAAATAGGTAAATACGGATAATTATTTTTTATTATGTAGGTATATAGGGTAGTTTTTCCAATTTATAAAGGAATTATTAAAGGGCTTTAGAGTAAAAGTTTTGAAAAAGGGTCGTTGGTTTTGGGATGAAGGGAGTGCCAGAGAAGAAGATGAGGAGGGAAGGAGTCTATTTTTTGAAAGAGGAAGAATTATTCTTTTTGAGTTTTTTTTAATTAAGTTATTGTTAAGGTATTTTTTTATTTTGAAATTACACGTGTCATTATTTCATCTGTTGACTTGACGTGTCAGCACATAGTGTATTTCACGTACAGACACGTGTTCAGAAGGTACAATTTGGCTAACAAGAAGTGTCTATTTGATCATTGAGTAAGTTGGAAAGTGAGATAGACATCTGAGTTCAACTTTAAGTGTCTCTTCATGTATTTTGCCATTAATCAAACTATTAACAACTGCTGACAGCAGGAGGAAAAGAAATATATTGAAACTAATTATGAACTTCTGTATAATTATGAAATATATACTCCCTCCGTTTCAATTTATGTGAACCCATTTGACTGGGCACGGAGTTTAAGAAAAGAGAAAAGACTTTTGAACTTGTAGTGTAAAATGAAGCACATATATTTTGTGTGACTATAAATCATTGCATAAAGATAAATTGTTTCCAAATAAGGAAAGTGATCATTCTTTTTGGCACGGATTAAAAAGGAAATAGGTTCACATAAATTGAAACGGAGGGAGTAGTTTGAACTTGTTACAAAAAAAGTAGCTTGCACAAAAAGGCGCTTTTAGTAAGCAATAGTATCATATATTTTTACATACAAGGGGCACTTGGACAATGAGACTCAATATCCACCTGGAATTAACCACAGTTTTTCCATATGATACTCCATAATATACTATAAGCTAAATTTTGAAACACGCATTTTTCATTCTTTTCCCCCTTCATCATAGCTGGGCATCTAAATGGAGAAAATACTTTTTGCTGATAAGTGATGTTAAGAACCTGTGGTTCCCAGTTCTATTGTACAGGTTCCTCCACCTAGATTCTAATTTATAGATATCAAGCCATTATTGCGATCTGAACCCAAAATTTCACAAGGGGACATGGCACATACTGCCTTTTGCTAGAACTCATACGCGAAAGTACATGAAACAGAAACAGCAGGAAAAAAGAGAAGGGGAAATGTAGCAGATAGTGGAGAAGACCATGATAAATTAGATGTCAAACAGCTGAGTAAGAGCTATATACACTAACCAGTTCCCTGTTTTAACTGTAAGGACAACAGATCAAAACCTGTATAGGTGGCAAGCAAGCCCCCATATTTCCTCTTTCTCGCTTGAAAATTGCATCATAACAAATGCACGAACCTCAACCAAAAACGAATAATAAAAGGCTTCCTTCACTGCTTAGTCCTTCAAAAACATCGCTGAACCTTACAGAGATATGCAGTATAAATGGAAGTACTGTCTATGCCTTAATAGGACATCTATTTGAGTTGTATCCAAAACTATGTAACATGTAAGTGGAAACAGCTCTATTCATCTATATCCGTGATTGCCCCTCTGTCAAAAAGATCAAAAGAGATGTACTCAGCCGTATCATAATTGATTTTTACCTGATTAGAAGCGCATAAGTGGAAACATATATCGCTATCATCTAATGTAACTCTTCCTTTTTAAAGAAAAGAAGATACAATGAGTGTAGCATTCTAAACTGTCCTCCCAAAAAAGAGGGTACTTTCCTCCTCAGTAACAGGAGGGTGTGTTCAAGTCCCTTGTACTCTATCCCATTTTTTCCTTTTTCTTTCTTTTTTTTTTTTATTCAGTAGACCAAAAAGACTGTACATTTGGTGTGGAATATAAGCCACCAACAGAGGACCTAGCCATCGGTGAGCTGCCAAAAGCTTCACCCAAATGCTGCGGAGTCCAGTCCTTTCTGGAAAAAATAGATGAGTAAATCACAAGAGTAAGATGGCAAAAGAGGAGAGGGAAAAGAGAATCTTTCACAAAATAGAAAGAAATAGTAACCAAGATCTCACCAGAACAAAGAGTTCAACAATCTATTTCTAAGACACTCACATAATATATGCAAAATAAGAAAAACATGTCAAATAAGCAACTTATCATCCCAGAAAAACACCAGCATCACCAAGTTACAAATCCATAACCAAAGCTTAAAAATGCTTACCAAGAAAAATCAAGAAGGCACAATGATAGGAATAGAAAGGACAAGACCATTTATATCCATAACCTATTTTTGCAATCCAAGTTAACATTGAAAAACTTAAATATAATGCTTGATTTCATTAACTATAGCAAATACACCTCATTTTGAAGCTAGTTATGTCGGTTATATAAATCCTCAATATCCAATTCGATCCACTTGGACTCATCTCAACCTGTGTAAACACGTGCTTCGTGAGCACGTTCTAACATATTGCGGGGAAAAAACATGGAAATTGGTAAGAACTTTTGTCAATATGCCACCATTAAATTACTTGGCACAGCTTAGTATCTGCTTACAGGTACTCAATAAAGCTAATGAGCCATAGTTCAAAAAACAATTCATATAAGCCACTAGTTAGTTTTCACCAGACTTATCTATAAGTAGCTTTGAGCTAGTACTAAATGTTAAATAGCCATAAGTGGAGGTTCCAATATTTTGTTAAAAAAAAGATTCTCATTCACAAAATGTTTTGCTTAAGGAAGGGGAGGGAGAAGGGAGCGGCAAGATGATTGTTGATTTACTTCCATTATGAACAGAATTTGTTATTTCCCTCCATTTGTTTGCTATAGCTGGAAGGATGTAAACTGGCATCTACATTCTGCCTCCAACTTTGACGGGATTGAAAAACTAATGTAGAGTTATTAATGCTTTTTAAATAAATTTTATAGGAGAAAAAAAAGAGCCAACCTCAAATTCAAGAAGAATACATCAAGTCTACCTACATACAGGAGTTTTTTATTTTTTTAATTTTTTTGTGGGTAAGGTACAAACAGGAAATCCTTTCAACAAGTACAATCATCAATCCAAGTTGGAGTGGATGTATATACAAAAAAGTGAAACCACCATGACACCATCTGCACCTAAGACAAGGACTCCGTCTACAGCTCTATGATCTCTTTCCAGCGATGTTGTCATCATACTGTCTGAGCCTCTGAGGAGTACAAAATAATTCCTTAACTGTTTTAGGTATGACTAAGAACTTCAGCATTCTATTCCACAGTTCTTACAAAAGTTTGCAATGTACAGAAAGATACATCCTCCCCCATTTCATTGCTCATGAAGCCCAACTGATAAGTGATGCCTCATTAAATTCTCAGCCCGTTATATATAGCACTCTAGGTCGCCATCCAAACGAAAAGATTGACTTCATATTTTTACCTGCCATTCTAATTTTAATTCTTTACCACCCACATGAGGAAGATGCCTTTACACCACTTTTTTTACTAGTGCCCCTGCATTCCTCCCCTTCTCACCCCAATCAAACGTAGTATTGACGTTTATAAGTTTAAGCTGGGGGAGAAGAGCTATTAAGCTTTACCCAAATATAATGCATAAGTTACACTAATATGTCCGCCAGCAGCTCATCCAAGCTGCTGGTTTCACGGCCTAACAAGTGCAGAAACATGGCACTGAATTGTCCATGCACCTAATAGTGGTGTCATTAGCCAACTTAAAGACAATCATTTAGCTTCCATATCTACTTCAAACAGTGACTAGTTGAATTAGGACAATTTTTCTCTAAAAAGAATATGAAAGGAACAACAGCAGAAAAGGGACCCCTAACTCATTAACACGTGGTTATGTACTTGACAATGATGCCCGAAGCATGGACCATCACTTCATGGAACTTTAAAAATAATACTCCCTCCCTTTCAATTTATGTTTCCTTACTTTCTTTTTAAGTCTGTTTCGAGAAGAATGCCACCGTTCTATATTTACTAAGTTTTAACTCCAACATTCCCATTTTACCCTACAAGAAGACTGGAAGGTGGAGACATTCAAGATACCATGCTAGAAACATATCCAAGATGCTTTTAAGCTATGCATTACACACCTCATGTGGATCTAGCTTTCAAAAGTGTACAACACTTCATAAGAGATGTTGAAGGGGGCTTGTTGCTTTGTTATTGATGTACTTTCGAGGTTTTGCACCTTTCAAGTACAAAGAACAAAGAAAAACAAAAGCACCCCGCTAAAGTTTTTCACAAAACTAGCAAAAACGTTCTTCAAACTCACGTTAGAAGAATATAAGATGGAAAGAAACCTCACCCACACGTTCCTCAATCCCGCAAGATTGCAAGAAGCGTTGAATAAAGGAAGAAGAATGAAATAAAAGATCAATCACGTTTTTGAAGCAAAAGCTTAGAAAAACTAATCACCAATCTTTATTTTCAGCATATTGAGCCCTTTAAATAGGTCTTACAACGAGTAACATTGATGAGGTTAAGGAAAACTAATCCTAATTAAACTAGAATAAGAATAAAGTTAAGAAAAGCCTATTCTAACTAAAATTGGAAAAGGAATTCTTGTAGGAATGGAATACCAACTAATAATCCTAGTTTGACTAGAACTACAAACATAATCCTACTAAAAGAGGGAATTAGAAATCCTAATCTTTATAGAAAAGAAATCCGAATCTTAAATGGATTCTTGAATTTCTTGGATTCTAGGCCTTCTTGATCTTGCATACTCCCCTGGTTGAAAAAGACTCGCCCTCGAGTCTAACAACTTCCATAGATGGTGCAAGATTTGCTATAATAAGAATGGGGACTCAATGCTCACCAGGTTTCAAGTTACACTTTGCTAGCTTATTATAGAGCCTTTTCACGTTGTAAGAAAACTTAGCATGTGGTCGAACTAAATCCCACTTTCTAAGTTCCAACTTTCTACCATGACTTCTCCATGTAATCTTTCTAAATTGAGTATCAAACTTCAACTGACGATATTAAGTTATTGGTGTTGGAACTTCATGAAGCTTAGCCAACTCCATGTCTAGCTTTGAATTAAGTATGGAGATAAACGCTCTTCTTGGGTATGCATCAATTGCATCGCTTGTACACCAATAGTCACTTTGATAATAGCCATATATATTTATGACGTTAAGACATCTTGTTTCTCTAATACATGGACTCAAACTCTCCATTATCCACTCCTTTATAGGTAATCCTTCCTCTTGTTCATGCATATTTTTATGGACTTTAGGACTAACACAATATGCTGACTTGTTTGGAATGATATAGTCAACAATCAAGTCAATATCGTGTTGAGCTTCTATGAAAGGCGGAAAGTCAATGGCACACATTGTTGGATACTCCAATGGATCATCACAAAACTTTGGTGGTAAATCCTCATCTTGTGGATCCAATGCATGTTCCTCGTCTCTTTGATAATTACCTTCATCAATTCCGTCCTCTTCACATCCATATTTATCATATTGGGCATGGTGCCTTGGTACTCTTGTGCCTTGGTCAGCTTCAACCTCTTCAGCTTGCTCAATATATCTTGATCTTTGCAGTTGAATTGGTGGATATCGAAGTGGTTGACGTGGCGGTAGCACTAGTATGTTATATGGTGATGGAGGTGGTCGTGGTGGTGGAGGTAGTAGGCGTTGTGATAGATTTGGTGTCTGATTTTGAAACACCAAACGTTCAACTAATTTATTCAGATTCTCCATTGATTCCCTCAAGTCATCTAGCTGCACTTTAAAGCCATCTAGCTGCACTTTAATTTCTTCGTTGTTTCGTTCAAGGATTCTAGTTCTTAATTTATGAACTTTTAATTGAAGATCCATTGAAGAGGATCCCGAACTTGGTATTTTCTTGTTTGGTGACACGATGAACAAGATAGCAAATCAAGAATTCGGACCTGGAACTTGCGCTCTGATACCAAATTGATGTACTTTCGAGGTTTTACACCTCACAAGTACAAAGAAGAGAGAAAAACAAAAGCACACCGCTAAAGTTTTTCACAAAACTAGCGAAAGCGTTCTTCAAACTCACGTTAGAAGAATGTAAGGTGGAAAGAAGCGTTGAATAAAGGAAAAAGAATGAAATAAAAGATCAATCACGTTTTTGAAGCAAAAGCTTAGAAAAACTAATCACCAATCTTTATTTTCAGCATATTGAGCCCTTTAAATAGGTCTTACAACGAGTAACATTGATGAGGTTAAGGAAAACTAATCCTAATTAAACTAGAATAAGAATAAAGTTAAGAAAAACCTATTCTAACTAAAATTGGAAAAGGAATTCTTGTAGGAATGGAATACCAACTAATAATCCTAGTTTGACTAGAACTACAAATATAATCCTACTAAAAGAAGGAATTAGAAATCCTAATCTTTATGGAAAAGAAATCCTAATCTTAAATGGATTCTTGAATTTCTTGGATTCTGGGCCTTCTTGATCTTGCATCAGTTATATGCATGCCCAACTTCAAAATTTAAAGTTGCCTAGAATAATGAAGAAAATCCGAGATGAGCTTAGCCCCATAGACTCATAGGAAAGAGGAAACCAAATGGAAACATCACCAATTTTCCTGGTTGACCATGGATTAGGAAAAGAAACACGTATGAATAGAATGCATGGTATAATTTAGGGTGCACAACAGGACTTCACTGCTAAAACTTGAAAGAAAGAGGAAACAACCTCTCTTATATTTAGAAGAAAAAACTCTTTTAAAAATCGATTGCAAGCTAGCCTCAACATCGGATATTTCATTGGAAGCATGCAATAGCCTTGAAAGTCTTTTGATGGTGACATGCTATGATAAAAAAGATGTATGCTTTACATGCTAATGGTACTTGAGAGCTTGCTCATCTACCTCCAGTAAATCTATTGTTGGTTGTCGATGGGTTTATAAAGTTAAAGTTGGTTTAGATGGTCAAATTGATCAACTTAAGGCCCGCCTTTTTACCAAAGGATTCTTTTTATAAGGTAAATTTTATTAACAATTGAAAAAATCCCGTATACTTGGATACCTTGTCAAGTTTTTTGGCAATTCTTTACATAGTAAACGCTTCAAATATTCAATCTACGATAATGAACCCAAAATGTCTATTAATCAAGCCATTTAATTTTTTCAAAAGCCATTAGAAACTACTGCTCAAATTATACTCCAATATGTCGATCAATGTCGCGCCATTATAAAGAAAATAGTTATATGTTAATTAAAATTCACATTACTTACCGAAAGAAGTTGCTTATGAAATAATTAAGGTATAAAGGTATAAACAAAATGAGGGTTAATGTAAAAAAGAAGGAAGAGAGAGATCTAGAAAATGGAAGGAAGAAAAAAGAGGAAAAAAAAGAAGGTAAGAGAGAGGTGAGGGCTAGTGCTCAATGGAGAATAAAGGGGATAGTAAGTAGGGAAATAAAATAAACTACTTCCAAGGCGAACTGAACTCAAATTCGTCAAGTAAACATAACACTTCAAAGGCAACACTTAACCATTGCACCACGCCTACTTTATGCATTCCAGATGCCACTTTAACTGTATGTACGTTTTATACCAGATATCTGCATACATACTCAATATTTTTTTGAAGCGTGTGGGTGGCGCGGCACGCCTACCTTATAAGGTAGATCCCCCATTGCTAACTATCTGGGATGCAGTTGTCCGTATTCTTCGACATATAAATATCAGCCCCATTTAAAATCAAGGCCGGGCATAAGGATTGTTTTTTTAGGATCAAAGCCATGAGCAATTTGTTGGATACACAGACGATGATCAGGCGGGATCACCTTCTGGTATGTTGTCTATGTCTGGATATTATGTCCTAGTATGAGGTAATTTAGTATTTAGGAAAAGCAAAAAACAAAATTTGGTCCCTCGATCTAGTGCAAAAGCAAGATACCGAGCAATGCTTGTGGCGACTTGCAAACTAATTTGGACTAAACAGTTGCTGAGAGAATTAAAGTTTGTAAAAATCAGCTAGATGGAACTTGTGTGCAATAACCAAACTGCTCTTTATCTATCCGGTATTTCATGAGAACAAAATAATTGTTACTTCATTAGTGAAAAGATACTCAGAGGAGATATTGTTACGAAATTCGTAATGTCAAAAATCAGCTTGCAGTAATTTCACTCGGTGTTTTAAAAGGCGTGGGCGTAAGGCGAGGCGTTTTATATATGCCTCAGCGAGGCGTAAGCCCTGAGGCACGGGGCGTAAGCCCCATAGGTATTTAATTTTTAATATTTTATAAAATAATATAATTACAATAAATATTCATAAACAGGTAAAATTGCATAAAAATTGAAGAAAACTATAAATATGTGAAATATATATGTGTGTGCGCGCGCGCGCGCTCCATCCCCGCAAAAAACTAGTTAAAACAATCTATTATACGCTACTTATAAGCACAAGTAACTTGAATCTAAAAGAATAAAATTTTCTACATGGAGGAACAAAAAAGATGACTAACCCGCAATTTGAACTTTAAACTTGCTGCTATGAGGGAGAATGGAGTTCTCTTTGTATTTGTAAAAATAAATTGAATATTTGTTGCTTTTGGGAGATATTAGCAGACTAGCAGACAAGATAAAGAATTGGGAAAGACCATGAATTAGGCCTTCGATCGATAAAAAAGGTCTTGACTTTTAAATTTAATATATTTCAGTTCCTTTTTAAAACTTTTGAGTAATTACCAAGCTGACTTTTGAGAATTTGGGTATTATATGAATGACTTATTCAACAAAATTTGTTTTAATTTGAAAAAATCTCTAGGGCTTACGCCTCATTAAAAAAACGCGCCTCAAATGCCCGGTCGTACGCCCCGAATTGTTGGGCGTACGCCTCTTGAGACTTTCGTCCCACACCATCGCCTCGGGGCGTTTTTGGTGCGCCTCGCCCCGAAAACGCCTTTTAAAACACTGATTTCACTAAAGCTCTCACTCTCATATCAGCTACATTTGTAACAAGCTTGGTACATATGATTTATATGCACCAGCTTAAGGGAAAGTGTCAGAATCTTGTAGATAATCTAAGATAGTCTAGGATCTTGTAAATATAGTATAGCATGATTTACTCCCGATGATTATGTTTTTTATTCTCTTTCCTTTCTTAGGACATGTACACTCAGCTATTTAAACCCCAATAGCTTGAAGGAATAATCAAGTTAGAGTTCTCTCAATATTTTCTTCCTTGTATTGTTTCTCACACTATTTATGTGTAAACACGCGTCCAAATGATTTCACTAAAGCTCTCACTCTCATATCAGCTACATTTGTAACAAGCTTGGTACATATGATTTATATGCACCAGCTTAAGGGAAAGTATCAGAATCTTGTAGATAATCTAAGATAGTCTAGGATCTTGTAAATATAGTATAGCATGATTTACTCCCAATGATTTATGTTTTTTATTCTCTTTCCTTTCTTAGGACATGTACACTCAGCTATTTAAACCCCAATAGCTTGAAGGAATAATCAAGTTAGAGTTCTCTCAATATTTTCTTCCTTGTATTGTTTCTCACACTATTTATGTGTAAACACGCGTCCAAATGATTTCACTAAAGCTCTCTCATATCAGCTACATTTGTAACAAGCTTGGTACATATGATTTATATGCACCAGCTTAAGGGAAAGTATCAGAATCTTGTAGATAATCTAAAATAGTCTAGGATCTTGTAAATATAGTATAGCATGATTTACTCCTCGTGATTATGTTTTTTATCCTCTTTCCTTTCTTAGGACATGTACACTCAGCTATTTAAACCCCAATAGCTTGAAGGAATAATCAAGTTAGAGTTCTTTCAATATCTTCTTCCTTGTATTGTTTCTCACACTATTTATGTGTAAACACGCGTCCAAATGATGCGGTATGAATATTAAAGGATTCATAGGCTGACCCCATTTAATTTTGGATTCAATTATCCAAGACAAAACAGTCCCAAGATGTATCTAGTTCAGGTTCTATCTTAACTTCAAAATTGATTTGCAACTTTCTGTAAGCACACAAGAGCTCTCCCTTAGGCACACACTCTCATAGTTACAAACATGTTGAAATGTCCTACTCCTCTATGGGTAAAAGTAACGGCACTATCTATAGTCAAAAGGAAGCCAACATGTACATATGGCTATCAGATGCATATGAATGGATAAGACACATGTACGCAAGCACCTCTAGACCTTATTCAGACAAGAGATAACAGTAGCCAACCATGATGTAAATACTTTTGTCGAGTCTCTGGAATCCTTTATAATTGAGGGAATTAGAGATATTTTTTAAGTACACACCAGCACTCTTTTGGGTCAATAAGTAATGAAATTCACAACAAATGGCCAACCATTATGAAAACACAGAAGATACTCTCAACAGAGACTAGGAGAAAAGAGAAGATTCAGATAATATTGACGCAAAAGTACAGCAGATAGGCTACCTCAAATTGCTTCAAACTTTCAAACAGAGGCAAAAACGTTTTACTTTACTTTAGTTCCAATTGGCAAGAGAAATTAGTGGTTTTCTTTTGCTTACTTGGCCCAACAATTAGGCGGAGACGACGCAAATGGATGGTTAGTAGCAGTAGCATTAGGACTCCCATACATCATTTCACTTTGAGCAGCATCCTCAAACTTGAGAGAAAATTGACTTTCACCTCCTGAATATGTACCAAAAGGAGCCTTTGGATACCTGCTTTCAGCACTACCAGGCAAAACAGTACTCAGTGTCCCACCATTCTGGCAACTTCCTGTATAAACTGTTTGGGAAGAATGACAGACGGAGAGTTGTTCATCATTTTTAAACAGTGACGCCATTGTCCTTGGAGGTGCAGGAGGCACGTTTGATGTATTCAAATCTGTATTCAAACACCAGTTGGTTGGAGAACCTATCAAACTTAGACCAGCTTGACCAAGCGGAGAGCTATTCCACATCTGCCATGTTCCTGTATCATTTGCATTATTTGAAACATTCATTGGCACAGTGCGCATGTCCTGAGCATTAGGATTGTTGAAAAGAAAAGACCCAGCATGCCTTTCCTCTGGAACACGCATCCGTGATATTGGAGACTCAATTGGTGAAGGCCTGGTCAGTTCGGAAGATGCCTTCACACTTCTTACCACACCTGGGTTGTCAATTCCTGTATCTGACACAAAGCCAAGGTCCACCTCCAGTTGAAAGTCATCAAGGGACTCACAAACTGGACCAAGCAATGACACAGGGTCTGGAACATAACAAGGATCTTCAAAATTCTCCAACTCTTCTGCCAATAACTGACCTGGTCCTTCTCCAATTTGAGAATGTCGTGCTCCCGGTGATGATGGAACAGTTGTACTACAACTTGTGGGTCCACAAGGAAAAGAAGTTAAAGTGAAAGGCGATGGGAGACCAAAGCTAATGGGGTTGTCAAAAGTTTGAGTAGCTGGAGGCTGACAGGGAGGGCTCACAATTTCTGCTTGGGGCTTAACACTTGGTCTGCTGATTACGTTGGAAGAGGGGGAAGAAACAGTGGATGATCGAGTGAATAGTTGTTGCCAAGATTTTTTAGGAACTGTACATGGTTGAGGTTCAATAAGCACCTGTAAAGAACAGATTAAACTGACAGCTTAACAGGAGTTCAATATCTCATTGAACAACAGCCAAAATAATCTTTTAAAAGCATTAAATATCTCGATATGATATGAATCTATCTGTAGGTTCACGTCAAGTCAACAAGATGAACAGGCCAAAATTTGAAAAACAAAAATGGTAAACGAAGTTATCAGCTGCAAGATTAAGCAGAATTCAAAAAAAAAAAAAAAGATTAAGCAGAATTCCTTAATAAGTACCAAGCAAGACACTTGATGAGAAGGAAAAATACTACACTACTGTTATACAGAACAAAACATTTTCAAAAACACTTGATGAGAAGGAGCACTTCGATATAAGCAATTGAAATAGTAGATGACAAAAAACTTACAGGCCGATTCATACTCCTGTCATCTCCAATTGGATTCAGCTTTCCAGGTACCCGATCTGGCTGAAATAGTTCCCTCCTACAGGCATAATGAACAGGGTCTACTGAAGTATTAGATTTCTGCTCTCTTGGAACAGGAGTAGTATTACTCTTGCCAAAAAAACCACCTCCACTAAATGCTCTAGAAGATGATAAGAAAGTGCCCTTCATACGATCCAAGTACCGAGTACCAACATTTCCATGGTTAGTATTGCTAGAAGAAACACCCTTAAAACCGTGTACAACTTCTACATTATGTGTCTTAATACTTTCAAGCCCATTTTTTTGTTGCTGCCTTCTATCACCATCACTTCGCTTATTCCTCGCACTCTCCTTGCCTTGTCTTTTATCCAGCTCTTCCGCATCTGAGTTGCTTTTGCTAGATCCCCTGTCCCTATCTTTCTTCTTCTCTTGCCGCTTCTTTTCGGCTTCCTTTTTACTGTCCCGTACTTTAGCAGAGGGAGACCCCTTCCCCCACTCTTTCTCTGCCTCCATTTTTTCATCCCGCAATCTCCTACGTTCTTCCACCAGCCTAGCGACCTCCTCTCTTTGCTTTCGCTCCTCCTCCTCCGCTAGCTCTTTCTCCAACCTAGCCAACCTCTTCTCCTCAGCTTTCCTCCTAGTTTTCTCCCCTCTACTCTCCTGACAATTTCCCCCATTATCACCTCTCTTATCCATCATTGCCCTCCGTTCTGCGTCCACTGAAGCATCACCTCTAGAGGAACTAATCCTAAAAACCTTTCTACAGAGCCACATGATACTTAAGAAAAAAGCAGTCAGTGCCTTGCAGGCAAAAGTAAAAACACGAGAATATGACTTCTCTGCTAAACAGTGCTCCACCCCAAAGAATCCACCGCCGCCGTTGTTTCTCCAAGAATCCGACTTGCTAAAAAAAAAACCACCACCACCAACCCAATTCCCATTCTCTAACCAATCCTGCCCCCCACACATCCACCTGTTGTCCGACCAAACCTTTCCACCATTTAACATCTTCCCACCTTTCCCAACCAAATCTTTCAAAATCCCTGAATTTGAAAGCCCCAACCCTGGCGGCACAGGCAAGTCTAAAATGGGTCTCTTAGAAATATGCCCACAATATGAACACATGAACTTGCCAGCACCAGGATTCTGATCCCTATACGGAGTCAAACAATTCCTACACCTCCTCGTTGCCGTCTTCCTCAATTTCTGCATTTCAATAGCCTCAAACCTCTTCCTTTCCCTAAACCTAGCATTTCTCCTTGCCCGCCAAGCAGACAACTTAGGCATCAAAACCTCATACCAGCCAAGAGTAACCACAAGCACAATCACACATGCTAACCTTGGTGATGTGATTTCAAACCTAAATGCAGGTGGAAATAACTGTGATAATGCCCATAAACCAATCAATGGAATCACTAACCAAGGTAACATGGTTGCAACTCTTCGCGACCACTTTTGGATGGAACACAGTATACACATTATCCTTTTCAACCCCACAACCTATCAAAAATCAATTTTTTTTTCTTAACTCCCCAAAAATATTACTATTAAAAACAATTAATATCTCAAATCTTCCCTTCTGTAACAACAACAACAATAACCACAGGTTCACCAATCCAATGCAAAACCCTAGCTCTGAAACTTCCCCCTTTCCCCCCAATTTTTTCAATTCTTCAAAACCCTAACAAAGCGAATCGTGATAGAAAGCACCTATGAAGCGGGAACAAATAGGTTAGGGTTTCAAAGTTTTATTTTAGCTCAATAACCTAAATGACACGGAAAGAATAATTTTAAAAACTTACGAAAATGGCGAAAAATCGAGGTGCTTACTAATTCGATGCCCATCGGAGATTCATCGGAAAATAATCGACGACCGGACACAGTGACGGTCCCTTCGGATGCAATTTTCCGGCGAAATATTTTGTGAAAGATTGTTGGATTGATGAAAGAGAAAATATTTTTAAAGGAGATAAAGAGAGAGAAATATGTTTGGTTTCTTTATAAAGGCATTGATTGAACCGGAGTTATTAATTAAAACAGACCGGTACGGGTTGCTGTTGGCAGTGATTAGTGGAGTAGTAATAATATAATCTGAAGATTGTAATCTAATTACAGTTGATAAGTTCCTAATTAATGCCCCCAATTTATTTTAGATCCCCATCAAATGTTCCTTAAAGACAATTGCATTTATTACACTTTTTTTTCAGATGTTGTTGCTCATTTTATTCTTAGTAATTGAAAATTTGTTGAGTTGAATTCTATCATACTTGTGTATAGGTCATCTATGAACGTGCATTTGTTGCCCAATTTCTTTATAATTGTGTTAATTAGTCATTTATATTAAGGTAGATCCCAATATAGAGATTAGGATTAAATTTATTTTATATTTAATTACTAGTATTAACTAATACTAATATAATTTTATACTAAATAGTAGTATAAACCTATCTCATATTAAGGGTGGAATAATAATATCGAGATAATAATATCTTACATAAAAATTTCATAAAAACAAAATTACCCCTCAAAAAGCCCTTTTCACTGCATTAGTACATCTATTTTAATCATTTTTTCATAAATCCTTTTTTCTCCGGTGATACTATCGAACGAGCTTGACATCTCAAACATGGCTCCATGATATCACGAGAGAGAATCATTAGCGGCTTCTCTTTCTCTATAAGTTTTTATTAATTTCTTTTCTTCCCTTCTCTTGTTACTTCCTCTGTCTCATTCTCTATTATACATGAAATCTTTTTTCTAAAGAAAACCTCTTCTATTTTTTTATATTTTTGTTACTTCTCTTTGTCCAAGGTATCTATTCCCAAGAACCAGCTGAGGGAGGGCAATCTTTAGAAATAATAGGTTGAGAAAGCAAGAGAACGCTTCGCGTTTTCTTATCTTCTTTCCGTTGTAGGAGTAGCACAAAAAGAGAGATTAGCATTTGATCACGCCCAACTATGCCTTATAAAAAGGACTAAGCAGTTGCTGCAAAAATAATCCGGTTCAAGAGTCCGGAGTCGAATCCCACAAGGAACTAACCTATTTGCTATAACTTTTAGTATCGCTAATGATAAGCTCAGACAATTTTCAAAGTTCAAGATTTTATTTGATAATTAACAGAAATTATTTAACTAAGAAAAAATGACAATAAAAACTATCAATAAGCAAGAATGAAGTTGAATTCAAGAGTAAAAGAATCTAGGGTTATTGATTTTCCCAATTGTCGGATTAATTCCTGACACGTTAGCTATAATCTCGCCGTAACACTCTATAAAGATGATGAGTTCTTGCTTACCGTACTTATCTCTCGATCAATTACGATAATTTACTAGAAGCATTCTCTCGAACTACTCTAGTTGACAATTTGTACAACTCATAAATATCACACCAAAGCTTCGTTATCTCTAATCCCGCTTTTAAATTCAAGTAATTAATCTCTTAACTTATTCGAAAGTGGCGTTGTTCAACAACAATCTAATCAAGTGTTCTTTCTCAAGCAACACTAGACAACTAGACATGATTAATCAAGGGCCCTTTCAATTAATCACAAGAAACACATAGTTGAACAATTATAGAGTAAAAATGGCTTAATTATATCAAAAAGTAATCAAGACTTCATCCAACAATTGGTTCCATCAACCCTAGATGACGAGTTTATCTACTCATACTACTATGCACGATTACAATATAAAAAGTCATAACCAACAATGGAATTAAGAAGAAAAAGATGAAAAACTCATAGGAGAATTCTCCGTCTTGCTCCTTTTGTGTTCTTGCCTCCAAAGTTCTTCTAAAAACAGAGATACCCTCTTTTTTGGTCGAGTTGGGCTTCATATAGGTCAAGGTTAGTCGCCTCTCAAATTACAAAATTGGCCTTGGACGATTTTTCTCTGAAGCACGTGCGCGGCCGCGCATCCACCACGCATCGACCGCGCACTTTGGCCAGTTTCTGCCTGACATGCGCGGCCCAGTGTGCGGCCGCGCATAGACCGTGCACCTGGAGGATTTTCTGCAGCATTTTTTCTTTCTTCTTTTTAAGCGCGCTAACCTCCAATTGGCCTTCAATGCTCCATATTAGCTCCAAAACACTCTTTAACGTCCTCATAGCGCGGAATTGCTCCTGCAAAGCATAAAGTTCTTAATTAGAGCAATTTGTTATCATTTAACATTCAAAAATCAATAAAGTACAGCTAAGTTAGAGTACAAATAGTAGCTAAACTACATAATTATAGCCTACTATCAATACCCCACACTTAAACCATTGCTCGTCCCCGAGCAATCAAACTACACTCTACAGAGGCCTAACTTTACTAAGCTACTTCCCTAACTCACTCACCCTCAGAAACGATATTCGTGTGCCACAAAAGATGCTCCATAGGCTTGCCCGTAGTGTACTACTCTACCAGTCGAGCTCATTTAGTCTAGGATCAAGTAGAACTTTATTTGGTTGTAATGTAGGCTGCGGGTCGGGTAGGATATACTTGGATATAAGAGTGACTACACCTCCCTAAGCACTTTAATACATATACTTTAACATTCAAGTCCATACTTATGTCAAACCAACACTCCACCTTCACATCAACGTATATTACCCCATACTTTTTTAAGCACAATTACATAAAAGCCACCAAAGGAATATTATTCACCACAATACAACTATTTTTTTTCAATTCACATGGCTTTTATTATTCTTTTTTTTTCCAACACAATGCATCTTTCTCCTTATTTCATTAGTTCCACTCAAAAGCCCCACCAATCACTCTCACACTTTAACCTTTACAAGTTCATAGCAATTCAAGTGCTCATGAGAGGTGAACAGGTTCAAATAGATGGTTAATTCAAATAAAGGGGTAAGACTTGTAATGTGATTGCCAAAGAAACAGGATTACATGTTTAAAGGGGTTAACTACGATACATAACAATTAAGCGGGTGGAATATATATATGGCTCAACAAAGAAATACCTATATCACTTCCAAGACTGAACAAGACTACTATTTCACTTTGCAAATACAAGGGGCAAGTTCTAGGCATCAAATACAGTGCACACAATACAACAAGCCTCACACACACATGGCACAAGAGTCACTCCAGATTGGATCATCAAAACACTCTAGTCAGGGTACTTAAGCCAAGTTAAGAACATACAATTTAAGGCACTCTTACAAGAATCAACAATTGAGCCTAAGCATCATACTAAAGTACCCACTATATTCAAGGCATAACGAAGTTAAGAGATCCTATTTCCAATTCAGCCCATAGCCCAAGGGTTCCTAACTTAAAAAAAAAATTAAAAAACTAACCCGGTTCAAACAAAATCCTTGAAAAAGAACCGTGGCTCAAAGAAAAACCAAAGGGGAATTGATACACTCCTAACAAAAGAAAATCTTTTTGTGTTTTTTTTTCTTCGACTTGAATCCCTCAAGAAAACCGTCAAATGATATCCATCGTCAGGACAAATCGAAACTTTTGATTTTTTTTTTTATTCAGTTAACTAACGAAACTACACTACTCTACATAACTTTATACATACAACATACATACAAAATATCCCCACCCTACACTTAAAATGGTGGCATGTCCCCATGCCACACAAATAAAAAAATGTGAGGTAAAGGAAATTTTCCTGGTACATCAATCCTGATCCGAGACAGTGCCGGGGTCGATATGGCACGCCCTCCCTAGCGCACGCAGCCAAGCCATGATCTTCTTCTCAGATTTTGCATTTTGGGTGGCCAGTGCATCAACTCGAGTCCCCAAATTCGTGACAGAAGTGCGTAACCCTGCCATTTCATGTTCTAGGGCTGTCATCCGCGTATCCCATCTGACCACAGATGTTCTCTCAACCTCAGCCTGCCCTTCATCTCCCTCTTCTGGCACATCAGACTCATTACTATTAGCTCTGCTAGGTACCACAGGATCCTTCCCAATGGTCACTTTATCTGCCCGGAAATTTGGTTCTTTTATCACTCTTCCATCCACGTTCTTGTTCTCCGGCACCCGTGCTGCCCGGCATAATCTAGTGACTAGTGAAGGGAAGAAGAACCCATACCTCTGCACTGGACAACTGATGAACATCTCATCGTGAATAACCTTAGCCACATCAAAATCGTGGCCATTCATGAAGCACCAGATCAATGCAGCTCTGGGACCGTTCACCTCAGTGGTGTTGGAGGAAGGCAGCAAGCGGCTATTGATGATATGAAGCCAACACTTCCCTTCAAAGGTGAGTGAGGCCGAGTGAAACTTCCGCCCCGGCGTAACCCACACTATGTCTTTGTTTGGCACATAGATTGTTCTGAAAAACAGGTTCCAGGAGATTGGTTCTCGCCTATACGTATCATAATAGTCCTCCTCCCCACCAAATACTGGCAGCCGATACGCCCTCCTAATGGTGTCTATCGATGCATCAACACTCTTTTGTCGCACAATGCAAATATGGTCCTCATGTTCAGAGCAGTTCGCGTAGAACTCTCGTACAACCATCAAGTTGGCCTCCTCAGGTTCTTCAAAGAAAATATCCAGCATGCGTCGAGCCAACTCCTGATACATATTGGGGCAATCAATCTGTAGGGACCCCCTATCAATACCCTGTTTCGGTATGGGCTTCTTAGGAGCTTTCTGACTAAAACGTTCCTGGGCTGAGCTTGATATAAATCTTGTGCTATCAAACTGAGGTGCATTGGTTGAGGCCCGTGCCCGGGACGAGCTTGCATGACCACTAGAAGAGGCGCATGTGGTTCGTCTTTTCTTTGAGGGTGTCATAGTACCTACAAAACAAATACTACTATCAGTACAAGGCGAGATGTGTGAACCAATAGCGGTTACTCAGACTTCACCCACACAATTGGTCACAAATTACATTCATAAACTCACTGTGGCATTTAAACAAACACTTGATGTGCAAATTCACCCCAAATTTCCCAAACACCCAATTATACCTCAATTCCACCACACTCTTAACAATGTCTAATCCAA